GCAAGAATGAAGAGTTAGAGTGGAACTTTTCTCTAATATGGGCCAGTAAGTTTTGTTTTCTCCCCTGCAGACTAGAGGATCAAATTAACTCTGGGGCTTTTCTTGACCAGGGACCAAGGCATAGTCTACTTAAATTTTGTATGCTTTATAGAAGGTCAAAAACCAATGTTTACCATATTTTTGGACTATAAGATGCACCGGACTATAAGACACACCTAAATTTACAGAAGGAAAACAAGAAAAAAAATAGTTTTCACCCTTCCAGTCCCCCAGAAGCACTCTGCACTGTTCCTCACATCCCATTTTTGCCACAAATGGGCCCATTTTTGGGCTCCCAAGCCCTTCACGCATTACCTTTTCGCCCTTCCAGACCCCCAGAAGCACTCTGCACTGTTTCTCACGTCCCATTTTTGCTACAAATGGGCCCATTTTCAGGCTCCCAAGCCCTCCGCGCATTGCATTTTTGCCCTCCCAGGCCCCAAGAAGCATTCTCCAGTGCTTCTGGTGCCCTGGGAAGGCAAAAACGCAACATGCAGAAGGATCAGGAGTCAAGAAATGGGCCTGTTTTGGGCAAAAATGCCCTTTTTGGCAAAAACGGGCTGTGCAGAGCACTGCAGAGTGCTTCTGGGGGCCTGGGAGGGCAAAAATGTGACATACTGACAGGGTTTGGGAGTCGAAAACCAGAAAATTGGGATGTGCGGAGCACCGCACAGTACTTCTGGGGTCCGGGGAGAGCAAAAACTATTACGAAACTATTATTAACTATTACTGTTACTATTAAATACTTTTAAACATAATACACAAGCAAGACATGTGGAGGGTTCAGGAGGCCAAAAACACCCATATTCTGTTTATAAGATGCACCTAAATTTTCACCCACTTTTAATGGGGGAAGGTGCGTCTTACACTCTGAAAAATACTGTTAATAATTTTTGCACAAAACTTTACAAGTATAACATAAATACTGTTAATTAGAACCATAATATAATGTAAAATCAAACTACAAACCAAAAATAAAATGTGTTAAAGTTAATTGTATATGGTGAACTGTTAATTATTAACTATTACTGTTACTATTAAATACTTTTAAACATAATACACAAGCAAATAAACATAGCTACTAATTGAATTAGAGTAATAGAGATTTGTGATAACAATGACATATACCTTCTAGCTATATCCTCAGATGCCCATTTTACAGCTGTAATGAAATCACAAGATGAAAGTAACTATCATTACATTAATTGGGAACATTTCACCATCAGAATGCCTTAAAGCAAACATTCTATTGAAAATTAAGTTTGGCAAGTGGCGTTATTCACAAGCTAGGGAACATTGAAACGACCCAGTTCACTAGTGACATCTAGGAAAAATTAAGTTGCCCACACTCAGAATGCTACACATTTAGTCAAAATTATTTTTAAAATGTAATTGAATGGGAAAAACTCACTGAATTTGAAGGAAATTGAAATTAGTGAATGCATATTTATTCTGAAGAACTCTGAGTTCAGGGAATTTCCCATTTAGTTTATTAAATGTGTGGTCTAATGTTCCACAATCATGAAATTATAAGAATATATAAGTAGCTGCCAAATCAGCAATATTGCCAAATCCCATCCCATTTAAAATTGACAAAAGCAGCAATTGGAACAAAAAAATATCACAATAAAGTATCTCTGATTTCAGCAACTCTAAAATAGTGCGGTTGGCTGGCATTTTACAGATGCAACAGAGTAAAACAGTAATATTGTTTCCTCACTGTTATACCATAGACTAGGCCCGTGATAACGAACCTATGGCATATGTACCACAGGTGGCAGTGGAGCCCTCTCTGCAGGGACGCAAGCCATCGCCTCAGCTCAGCTCCACCGCGCATGTGTGCGCGCCATCTGCTGGTCAGCTGATTTTCAGGTCCCTGCCATGCATGCACAGAGGATGGGGCGCATGCAGGAGACGTGTGCATGCATGGAGGTATGGGGGGGTCACACACACATGTGGAGGTGGCCCCCGTGGCCCGTTTTTGGTCCCAGGAGACTTCAGGGTGATACATAGAGAATTCCCTGCAATATCTCATAAAATATTCTGCATCTTATTCTATAGTGTTCAGAAAGACTCCAATCACCAGGAACGTAAGAAGTGTAAGAGGTAGAAATGCCAATATATGCAAGAAGATCAGCTTTGTACTAGCACAAAATCACAATTTGATTCTGAATACCAAAAAATGCAACCAATCTGCATTTTAGCAAAGTATCTGAAGTACATGATGAAGTGAAAATCACCACACAGAGTGGAAAAAGATGAGGAATACCAAATTACTACAAAATTTCCAGTGGAAGATTTAGCTAGTAAGAAAGTCTTGCAGCAATCAATTATGTGACATTTTACTGCTAGGAATCAAAGGGAAGAAGTAGGAGGATGTCGAAACCTGTAACTGTTAAGAAGAGAGCATTGCTTACATATGAAAGAATGTAGATATGCAGAATGAACTCAGTAACATTTCCATCTCAAAGCATACCAGTCTAAATAAATACTATAAGTACAGGGGTGGGATTCAAAAATTATAGCAACCATTTCTTTGCCTGGTCGCTGAGTGGGTGTGGCTATGGTGGGTGTGGCCTACTCGGTCTCCTGCATCACAGTGGGGGGGGGCATTTTCACCCTCCAAGGGCTCCAGAGGTTTTCTTTGAGCCTCCAGTAGGGCAAAAAAGGCCTCCTTCGGCCCTATGGAGGCTGGAAATGGGCCCATTTTTGGACTTCCGGAAGTTCCAGGAGGCCCTTTTTCACCCTCCCAGAGCCTCTGTGCAGGCCCTGCACTTACCTGGCATCCAAAACAGGCTACAGGGATCGGGTGAAATCAATTTACCCTTGCTACCGGTATGCAATGTGAGTGCACGCAGGACCTTCTGCATCAAAAACAGGATATGATGATGTCTGGGTGGGTGGAGCCTCCAGCCACTATCATTACCGGTTCGCCCGAACCAGATTGAACTGGTCAAATTTCACCCCTGGCGTGGAGTCTCCTGGGAGAGGAAGGGCGGGATAAGCAGGGCCAGCCACTTCTTGCAACTCTTGGTTCAGCAACCCAGATATAAAATTAGCATCTGGTTCGCCCGAACCGGTCCAAACCAGCTGAATCCCACCCCTATGTAAGTAAAAAATCAGTTCACTTGAATACCCGCCATAGCGGGTAGAACTTGACTCTGCATATGACCCCTGACCTTAAAAGGAAAGATTATCGAAAAAAGGTTTTGCTCCATATTTTTAGTAAATCTATTGATCCTTCTATTCTAAAGATAAATGATTGGGGAAACAATTAGTCATCCTTTGAAATAAATATAGTAATTTAATACTTTTTCATATCTGATTAAGACTAATCATCTTGAACACAAGAAAGAGGAGAAAACAAACTGGATGTCAGAACAAATTAGAAATTGCCAAGAGAAATGAAGCCATGGCCAAGAAAGACAAAACTTTTGAGAAGAAACTTAACAAAGAGTTTCAGATAAGTTAATGAAGCAGTGTTACTACATAGAGGATGGGAACAGGTATGGAAAAAGGAGGAACTATCTCTGAATCCAAAAGGTTTATTAGCAATAGTAATAGCAGTTGGACTTATATACCGCTTCATAGGGCTTTCAGCCCTCTCTAAGCGGTTTATAGAGTCAGCATATTGCCCCCACAGTCTGGGTCCTCATTTTACCCACCTCGGAAGGATGGAAGGCTGAGTCAACCTTTGAGCCAGTGAAATTTGAACCGCCAAACTTCAGCTTAGCAGTCAGCTGAAGTGGCTGCAGTACTGCACTCTAACCACTGCGCCACAGTGGCCAGCTGGTCAGCACACTCGCCCAGGGATATTATAAGCACCAGCAGCTTTCTGAGTATTGATTTTCCGCAGGACCTTCTGAACAGCAGTTGTATCAAACCTGAGTGCCTGCTCATCAGGGAGGGGAACAGCCTTCCTTGCTGGAATGTTGTTTGTGGTCTCAACCATCAAAAAAACATATTTAGCTTGTTTAGAGAATCATTGTCACCCTTACAAGACAGGGAAGCTGTTGTGACTCAGCAAACGTCTTCTGTGAGTCTTTTCAGGATGTAAGGTCAACGATGCAGCTG